TAACTTTGTCTTATCCCAGAAAAATAATACTAGTACATAATCCACCTACCAACACCAAAGGCTCGTTTCAAGACTCTGGTGGTAACATTAAATGCTACTCTTAATACCAAAATGTACTGTCCTTTGAACCTGTTATTTTAAAAACCGTGCTTCTTGCAGCAAAAGAAGGGAGATGGGTCAAAGGCAGGCCTGGCCCAGACCCCCACGGCCACCCCAGAACAGTTCCTGGAGTCCCTTGTTAGATACTGGTTTCATAAAAAGGTTTCATGTCCAAAGCAATTTTGCAAACTCTCCCTTTAGACTGTTCAGGTTTCCCTTGCTGAAATTCCTGATACATGCAGAATATTTCCATAGATATTTTCCAGAGCTGTGAAGGTTTTATTTATACGCACACAAGTGACTCCTGCTGGGAATGTTAAGAAGGAAGAAACCAGGGCTGGGGAGAGTAAAAGGAATGACTGAACAAGCCAGCAGAGCGTGGTTTTGCACTGCAGCAGGAGGTGGGAGGAAGAATTGGGGTGCATTACATAACAGTCAACAGAGGTGAGGCCAACATAAGCTGAAGGGGACCAGGGAGACCATGGGGAAGCAGATGTCAACCATGACTCCAGGTCAAAACAAATCCAAAAGATACCAAACATGCAGATTGTAAACTGAAGGGAGGAAGATGAAAACCTCCTAGATTGCATATCCCTTGTAACAAAGCCAAGTGAATGTCTAAGAATATCTTTCCATCTTTGGTGGAGTTGAGGGGGTGGGAGGTCAAGAGGAGGAAAGCCTGCAAAGACTGTTTACACCAAGGACTGTTAAATGGAATCACACCATACAATGCCCCTCATTACTAGCGGAGGTTATATTCAAAGACATTAGAGTAACTTTATTTAGCAGGCTCTATTTATTGTCTCATTATAGCAAAAACAATTCTCAAGGGCCTTTATAAGTCACTTATAACCTCTAAAACCACCATATAATTTTTGTCATGGGATCTTAAGATACGATTGAGGCAAATGAAATGCATGAATGAGCTGAGTCAGGGGTAGATATTCATCAAGGATAAAGCTCCTCTAGAGGTGGGATCTCAAGCATGCCCCTGCTGTCCTCCTGGTTGCCCCACTTTGGGGAGAACCAGGAAAAGAACCTCACCTTGCCTGGGGAAGGCAGGGAATGCTTCAGGCGGGGGGATGACTCAGGTGGGGCTAAAGAGCCAGAACAATGGAAAGGCTTGTCACTCTGCAGAAACAAGCAGCTAGGGCTGCTCGGTCAATTCTCAGGCACATATGTGGCCATACAAACAGGTGCACCAAAGAGGGCCCTGGGAGTGAGATCCCTGTCCTCTGTGGGCTGCCTGGGGCTGGGAGGGCACTTACAGAGCGCTTGTCGGCCTCTGCCCCTTGCTGGCCCTGCAGACATGCGGTGAGCTTCTTGTGCGTGCTGTGGGACACCTGCTTCACCAGCTCCAGGCGCTTCTCCACCTGCAGACAGAACAGTGTGTGATGCCATTAGGTGAGGGCAAGGTCAGTAGAAGAGGGTTGTCGGTCTGGACAATCATGACCTGTGTTTCCATGAGACAAGGACTTCTGGGGAGACAACATCCAATGCTGGAAAAGTGGAGGGGGAGCAATCACAGACTCTGGGACTCTGCTGCTAACCATGTAGTGAGATAACTTTAAATCTCTCCTGAAAAATCTCCCCTAAACCAGTATTCAACATGCAAAGTACTGTCATAAAAGACAAAAGGTTGCATCTCTAAACAGTTGGTATGCGGATCAGCTGAAGAGTTTAAACAGCACTGGGAATGTCTTACTTTTAAAAGGGAAAACATCTTTGGTGTCTGTGAACTAGTAAGGGTCCATGACAACCTTACCTGAAGAAGGTCTTCACTCAGAACTTCAGTCTTTTCTGCCCTAAAGAGAAAATTGAGAAACACAGCAGTAAGAAAACTAAAAACATAGTCTCATAATTACTCCCCACTCTCTTCACTTATAGCAACACTAGAGAAACAGAGACATTAGTAGCAGAAACTCCTAACAAGAAAATACGTAGACAATAATGAAATTTACCAGGAACCTTAAGTCACCAGCACACCTGCAAACACAGCAAACAAGATACTCTGAAGAGTTAAGAAGGTTTCCCACACCTATACTCCTTGGTGTCCCCAAAACAAGCAAGTGAAAGTAGCAGAAATCTGAGAAGAGATCAATAAAGAAAAAAAACAGAGACAGTAGTGAATCTGGGCAACTAATGCAAATACCCTCAGCAAGGTCTGGCAACCAACAAAGAGTTAGGATCACCAGAAAGTGGGGGCTTGAACCTGAGATTTCCACATTCAGGAAAAGAACGTGGATGGGGTCTCAACCCATGAATGCCCCCTGCCTCACATCAAATGAGAATGCAAATCCTCTTTGGAGCAAAGCATTCCTAATTTATGGCCTGTGTATTCTCACTGATAAGGTTCAATCAGTGAGATATCTCACACATATGTACAACTATTCTCACACAAACACTCACATACACATATACCACAAATTAACGTGAAAACAAATCATCAAGATTTAAGAGTACAGAGAAAGAAAGAAGAACCGAAACATTAAGAACCCAAAGGGACTTGGACTACTAGAATTATTGAACACTGTAATGTAGATATGATATATTTAAGAAAAACAAAATTTAAAAACAAGTAATAGAACTTCTGCTTCCACGAAGATGAAGTGAACATATTTAGCAATTCCTTTCACTAATACAACCAAACACCCAGGACAATATATATAAGACAAACATAAGACTCTGAAAAGGAGAGAGATGCCATACCAGCTAGAAACCTCCTGACCCAAGGAATGACATGGTGAGGATGCTTTGCTTCACGTTTCCCAGACTTGGAACTTGAGAAACCAGCAACCTAAATCACCGATAGGCACAGACAAAACAAGCCCCAACGAAAGCCTGGTCTCTGCAGCCAAAGCACTAATAAAGAGGCAGCCTAGGAAGACAGAAAACTTTTAGGTAATAACCATTCACTGCAGCCAAACACCACAGAAAAAAACTGTAGTCCTACTCCACCCACACCAGCAAAAGCTGAGCAGGGAGCTTAGACTTCTTCCCCTGCCAGGCTGTAATAAAGCACCCAACCCTCAACCCCTCATCAGTGTGGGAGTGTCAGAGATGGTTGAGTAGGGAGCAGGGACAACAATCACTGCTGGGCAGTGATGAAGCCCATCCTCCCCGGCTGCAGTGGCAGTAGCCTGGACATCACCCAGTGGTAATGAAGTATCCCTCCCCTCCCCACTGGGGTGGTGTCACAGGAGGCCTAACTGACAGTCAGGACTTTTGCCACTGTCCAGAAGTAGCAAAGCCCTGTCTTCCATAGTATCAATGGGAGCCAAGTAGGGAGAACCAGCCACTTCTATCTGACCAGCCAGGGAGGTATCAGTGGAGGCCCAGTTGAAAGCTAGAATTCTCACTCCCACCCCGTAAGAGCAAGAAGCACCTCCCTCCTCAAGGGGTCAATGAAGGCTAAGTGGGGAATCTGGACTTCTCCCCTGACTTGGCAGGAACAAAGTAGCACTCCCACTTCCCCTACTGGAGTGCTATCAGAAAAATCCAGCCAGAGGACAAAGTTTAAATGAGATCCAGAGTCTCATAATATAACACCCACAATGTTCAGATTTCAGTAAAAAATTACTCATCATACCAAGAAGTAGAAAAAACTCAAACTGAAGAAAAAACAATCAATAATAGATGCTAATTAGAATTATCTGTCAAAGATTTAAAAGCATTCATTATAAAAACACTTTAAAGAATAATTATAAACATGCTTGAAATAAATGAAAAAATAAGAAGTCTGAGAAAAAAATAGAATATATAAGGAAGAAACAAGTGAAAGTTTCAGAGCTGAAAAATACGATAATCTAAATAAAAAAACTCAGTGAATGGGTTCAACAGCAGCATGGAGGAGACAGAGGAAAGAATCAGTGAACTGAAAACAAGCACAATAGAAACTTTGCTATCTGAACAGCAAAAATAAACCAAATAAACCAACAAACAAAAGAAGCCTCAGGGACCTGTGGGACTATAACAAAAGACCAAATATGCCATCAGAGTCCCAAAAGAAGAAAAAGAAGGTAGGTTAAAAAAATACTCAAAGAAATAATGGCTGAAAACTTCTTGAATGTGGCAAAAGACACAAATCTACATATTTAAAAACCAGAGCAAACTCCAAAAGGGATAAACACAAGAAAAATCCTCATCAATATTCATCATAGTCAAACTTCTGAACACTAAAGACAATTCTTTTTTCCCTTTCTTTTATTACTTGTTTATTTATTTATTGGTGGCTAGCTGGTAAAAGGATCTGAATCCTTGACCTCAGTATTATCAGCATCATGCTCCAACTGCATGAGTAAAGACAATTCTTAAAAGCAGGGAGAGAGAAATGATTTTATAACAACAGGGGAAAACAATTAGAATAACAGTAAATTTCTAATGAAAAACCTGGAGACCAGAAGGAAGAGCAGCACCATTTTTCAAGTATTGAAAGAAAAGAACTGCCAACCTAGAACCCTATATGTGGTGCAAATATCCTTTAGGAATACAGAGAAAATTAAGACAATCTCAGACACAGAAAAATTACCAGAATTTGTCATCAGCAGGTTTACTTTAAAGACTTCCTAAAGAAAGTTATCCAAAACAAACAAACAAAAATAATAAAAAGAGGAAACATGGAATATCAGGAAGGAAGGAAGAACAGGGTGAGCAAAAATATGGCTAAATACAACAGACTTTCTTTCTCCCTTTGAGTTTTCTAAATTATGTTTGATGATCAAAGAAACACTTATAACATGGTCTGACATGGTTCTAAATGTAGTAGAGGAAATATTTAATACAATCATATTGTAATCAGAGGAGGGTGAAGGGTCATAAAGGTAGGAGGATATCATTCGATTGGGAAAATGACACCAGTAGATTGTGACAAGTTATGTATATATCATGTAATATCTGAAGCCACCACTAAAATAGCTATAGAAAGAGATACACACAAAAACATTATAGATAAATCACAATGGAATTCTTAAAAAAGTTCAACTAACCCATAGGAATGCAAGAAAAATAAAACTGAGAAATAAAAAACAGAAAGAACAAAAAATAAATAAAATGACAGACATCCTAGACATGTCCATAATTATATTAAATGTAAACAGCCTAAACATACCAACTGAAAGACAAAGATCGGCAGAATGAATTAAATAACATGTTGTCTACAAGAAACTCACTTAAATCATAATTATATAGGCAGAATGAAAGTAAAAGTATAGGAAAAGACATCATGAAAACATTAACCAAAAGAAGACAGGAGTGACTATACTAATATCAGATAAAATAAATTCAGAGCAAAGAAAATTATCAGAGACAGAGAGGAGCATGATATAATTATAAAAGGATCAATCCACCAAGAAGACACAGCAATTCTAAATGTCTATACAACAAACAACAAAGCTACAAAATATGTGAAGCAAAACTGATAGAACTAAAAGAAGAAAGACACAAACCCACAATTAGAGTTGGAAACTTCAACATTCTCTCTCTCAACAGTTAACAGAACTAGGTTAAAAAAAAAAAAAAACTAGCAAGGCTATATAAGAACATACCACACCACCACCACTAATCAATAGATCTAACTGAACACTCCATCCAACAGGAACAGAACACACATTCTTTTACAATGCCCACAGAACATATACAAAGACAGGTAACATCCAGAGCCCATAAAACAAACCTTGACAAATTAGAAAGAATGGAAATCATATACAGTGTGTTCTCTGACCACAATGGAATCCAACCAGAAATCAATAATAGAAAGACAAAAAGAAAAAAAAAATCCAAATACCTGGAAACTATACAACTTCTAAATAATCTATAAATCAAAAAGAAAGTCTCATCAGAGCCCCTTACCAGCCAGCCACCAAAACCGAAACAAAACAAAGAAAATCTCAAGAAAAATAAAAAAATTAAACTAAATGAAATAAAAATGTAACATACATAAATGTTGAACATGGCCAAAGCAGTGCTAGTAGGAAAATGTATAGCATTAAAATCCATACAAGAGAAAAGAGGAACAGTCTCAAGTTAATCATCTCAGCTCCTATTCTAACAAGCCAGAAAAGGACCAAACTATAGTCAAAAGCAAGCAGAAGGAAGGATATCATAAGGATAGACAGAAAATGGTAAATTTAACACAAAATAATAGAGGAAAAAAATGAAATAAAGAGAGTTCTTTAAAAAGATCAATAAAATTGAAAAATCTCCAGCAAGATTTAAAAGAAAGAATAGGAGAAGACACAAATTACCAATAATAAGAATAAAGCAGTGAATACCACTAAAGACCCTGGAGGAATCAAAATCATGGCTTTAATTAACAAGCCAGCATATATATAAATTTGTCAGCATAACTGAAATGGACTAATTCCTAGAAAAGCAAAAGTACAAGACATATAATATGAAATAGATTATTTGAGTAGGCCTGTAACTATTACGAAATTGAACTTGTACTTTGAAAACTCTCTCGAAAAATAAATCTTCAGACCCAGAAGTTTCTATGAGAAACTTCATCTACCCAATGTTTAAAGAAGGATTAACACAGCAATCCTACACAATCTCCTCCAAAAAATAAAAAAAGAGGGAACAGTTCCCAATTCATTTTATGAAGCCAGTATTACCTTGATATCAAAACCAAACAAAAACAAGATAACTGCAGACCAATATCCCTCATGAATATAGATACAAAAATCCTTAACAAAATAATAGCATATAGAACTCAGCAATATAGAAAAAAGAATTATTCATCATGACCAACTGCAGTTTATTCCAGGGATACAAAGCTGGTTCAACACTCAAATATCAATCAGTATAA